GGGGGGGGGGGGAGGGGAAGGTATGTGCTTCACGCAACTACTTAGGCGAATGATCATGAAAGTACATCCAGAAACAGACTGATGATATCATTCTCTAGGAGCGACTAGCAAAATGCCAATTATTACACAGGGTGGGCTGTTTATGAAAGATGGGCTGATATTTTTTAAAAGACCATTAGTAGATCTGAAAAGTCGCTCTTTGTACTCTTCTGCTAGCGGAAACTTGTACAGCAGAAGGTCAAAGGCAGAGGGAGGGGCTATACTTCATGGGCTATACTTTCCCTTTTCCCACCGTAAGGAATTAGGAACCATTCACTTCTATTTTGGAAATATCAGAATTTGCATTTCAGGGCCCATTGGGCTGCTGTAACTACGCTGGCTCTCCTCCTCTAATTACTTCATTTTCTGGGACAGGAGGAAAGTTCAGCCGTCTCTGTATAGGGCAGGACACCACCTGTGGGTACAGGATGAGCAAACTCTAAGCACAAACGTTCCTCAGTTCAGTCCCTAATAACTCTAGTTACTAGGTGATGGTGACAACTTCTGCCTGAGATCCCAGAGAGCCACTGCCAGTAAGAATAAGCTCTACAGCACTGGTTCTTAACCTTGGGTTACTCAGATGTTTTTGGATGCAACTCCCAGAAGCCTTCACCATCAGCTCTGCTGGCTGGGGTTTCTGGGAGTTGCAGTTCAAAAACATCCGAGTAACAAAGGTTAAGAACCAATGCTCTAGAGGCCAGATGAATCAACAATCTGATTGAGCATAAAATAGTTTGTAGAATAGGTTGTAAAACGGGCTGCCCATTTCTTGAACTTACAAATGTAGCTTTTCAAGACCACAGCTCCCGGAATCCCCCAGTCAGAAGGGCCAATTTATCAAGCTCTGCCCATTCCTTTCGTTATACAGGACTTATAATATTAATATTAGAACTGCTGAGCTGGAGGGGACCCTGTGGATTGTTGACCCCCAGCCTCTGTCCAGGAGGCACAGAGGGGAATCCAAGTCCCAACCTCTGGCTCCACAGCCAGAGACCTCAACCACTGAGCTATCCAGCAGTTCTTAGCAGAACCCATGAGACCCAGAGCTGTTATTGGGTAAGTTAGAACCCATGGCACATGAGGAATATCTTGTGAGCCACACGAGGGTCAGGACCGGCAACCCAGGGTTACAGCCAAGGCTGGCTTTGCAGTCCCTGTTCTGGGATCTGTTTGAAATCACACAATGTCCCAAAAGATTCTAGCCAGGGTTTCAGCCCAGGGTTGTGACTCCATACCGAGGTGAACACCTCTGTGGTCTGCTGGATGGTGGCAATCTTGGTCCAGCTCCACTTCTTGAAGAGCTGCACCCGGGTGGGGTTGTGCAGGGTAGCGGAAGGATGCGTGCGGAAGAAGGTAGGGAAACGCTGGCGGTTGGACAGCGCCGGAGAGCTGGAGCCATAGGAGAGCTGGAAGCAAGCAGACGACAGAGGCACAGCTGAGCGAGAAAAGGGACGAAACGCCAACATCTACCTCACTTAACTTCAGGGACGACGTATTTTTTTCTTTATTACCTATTCTCCAACACTCTCTAGCCAACATCTACCTCACTTAACTTCAGGGATGACATGTTTTTGTTCTTCTTTATTACCTATTCTCCAACCCTCTCTGTTCATACAAGCACACAGATCAGACTCTGGCAGAACTCAGAAAAATCACTTTACAGAATACATTTGTATTTGTAAAAAATATAATTCTTAGAACCCCCATCATGGCCTGTAGTCAGAACAGGTCTGGAACGTGAAGTCTAAAAAAGAAAGCTTTATCACGTTCTGTCTCTTGACACCAAAGGCACTCTGGGGTCCTCTCTGATTTCTAGAGAGGCTGCAGTATAAAACTCCACACCCCCCCCCAAAAAAAAACATGCAACCACGGAAGCTCTCTGCTAAATCACTATTGATAGAAAAGTACTTTCAAAGGCATTCTCGTCACATATTTCTGATCCAAGAAACATATGAAATCTTGGTAAGGATTAAGACTTGCTTGCCTTGCGATGCCCACACTCTGCATATAAAACATACAACAGGAAAAATGCTCACCACAATTAGGTTCCACATGCGTGCTGCCTCAGCCACCAGGGTGGAAACGCTGCTACAGCCTGGCATAAGGATGATCTTGATGGGGTCATTATAGAGGAGCTCGTAGAGGAATTTGGTGGCCACGCCAGGTTCACACTGTGGATGGTAGAGTGGACAGAGAACATATTCTGTTCCTAAGATTGCATTGTATCCCCTGACTTACACTCACTCTCTGAAAAAAACCCATTTCAAAACTCAAGCCCAGCAGAAAACAGAAAAACAGGAAAAACGTGAGGCTATTGCTCCTAGTCATATATTCTCAAGTAAAACCATATACTAGGCACCATGCAAGACACAGTCACAAGGTGTTCCTGATGCAAAAGCGTAGTGATCTAGAAGGTAGGTAGCAACAGGCATGGAAGGGCTATACGGCAATGGGATGAGGAAAGGGTGACATGGCTGTGGAAAATCTGAATAGGGCGAACGCGGGATGAAAAAGCTTTGTTATCAGGACTGGAATTAGGAGGAAGAAGGCATCTGGATGACTAGCGAAGGGAAAGACTTGACAGCTTTACAGATTTGGATGCAGGAAGTCCTAGTTGCCAATCTTGGCATTTCTAACGATGGCTTGAAAACAAACCCGGAAAAAGTCCTGGTTGAGGCCGTGCCATTGCAGATTCCTCTTTCCCTATGTAGTGACTTGCAGCTATGCTGGCCAGCAAGCATCAGGTTGGGGAAGGTTGCCATGGGCAACACTGAAATAACTGGTCTGATTTGAAAGTATTTTTTTTATATTTCCTGCCCACGGCTGATGACTCCTTTCAAGTGGACAACTGGCCTCTTGAGTTCTTTGCCCCGCAGAAAAGACATAAGCCATATGCATGAAGAGATCCCAGTTACGCTGAGAAACTAGGGCAATACTACAACAGACCAGAGAGTTTGTGCTGGTTGGGTGGGGCAAGGAAAAAGTTATTTTCTTTTTTTTTAACAAGTCCACCAACAAATAAAGAATCCAATCTACTGTATTTCAGCTTGCAGCAACAGAGATGCTAAGCAAGTATCTGAGTAGAGTGACAGAATGAACCCTCTGGATTTTATTTCTTGAAAAAAAAAGAGGTCAAAAGAGCAGGACAGGAAAAGAGCAGACCACGAGGACTCTGATGGAATGGATTTTTCCTCTTTCTCAGTTGGTGTGTGAGACTTCTTTGGTCACCTCTTATTAACTCAGTAGGCACAACATAATTCAGAGAAAAGTGGGCACGGGAGGGGTTATGAAGGATGAGTTTAGTTACCATGAAACAAGTCCCACATGTTCTGGCACTCTTTCCCCCCAGCATCTGGTCAACTGGGGTGTCCTCCCATCTACTACTCTGCTAAAAGGCCATCACAAGGAATCACCCATCACCCCTTCACCTTGTGGCCCAAGAACCATATCCTGTGGCAATCTTCCATAAACACACCCTGTAGATGTGTCAGACTATAACTTCCATGAGACACTGTGGCTGAAGATTGTGGGAGACTGTAGTCAACACCTATAGAAGAGTCCACATCAAGGAAGGCTGCTGCAAGGGGTACAGCAGAAAACAGCACTAAATACAGCATTGGGGATCTGATGGTTAGGGTGGTAGTGCCAGAATGGCAGGCAAGATGACCATGTGCCCCCCTGTACCCCAAAGGGATGAAAGATACACCTTTATTTCCATTATTTCTGTGGCTCATTTCTAACCTTCACAAACCCTACCTGACCACTCTCTCCCTCTTTCTCATGCAGGCCATCCCACCTATTTCTCTTGCCCCCCCCCCAAATCCTGCTCCTGGCTGTGCGCCTCCACCGCAAGGGGATGATGAATTATTCAGGGCATCGCTGCCCGGGAAAGAGGATCAGTTTCCATGGCAACCCCATCAGCAGGCGCTGCCACAGCAACCTGTCAGCACAGGATGGGGGGGACTTCAATAGGGAGGGAACAAAGGGAACACAGGAGGGTTGGGGGTGCCTGGGAAACACTAGGCTCTGAAAGAAAGAAAGAAAGAAAGAAAGAAAGAAAGAAAGAAAGAAAGAGAAAAACTTGGGTGGGAAGGTGTGTGTGTGTGTGTGTGTGTGTGTGTGTATGTGTGTGTGTGTGTGTGTGTGTGTGTTGTGATGGGGTATTATGGAAGACTGAGGTATGCAGTCAGAGAACTGGGAAATCTGGAAAGGATACCCCAGATTTTGCCATGAGAATAAGGACAGCCAGACAGAACTGGGAAATCTGGAAAGGATACCCCAGATCTTGTCATGAGAATAAGGACAGCCAGACAGGAGTGGGAGGCTGTGTGTGTTTGTGGGTGGTGGGTAGAGAGATGTTACAAAGTGGGTGCACGGAACTGGAGTCTGTTTCTTAAAGCTGGCACATGGGGCTCTGGGGCAAGCTGTTGCAGCAGAACAACACTGTTGCAGGTTCAAGAATCCTGCAATATGAGTGTTCTTGGAAATCATGCATGCTTCTTGTACTTGTGAACATGCCCGGGGCAAGCCAAGCAATCTGCAAAGCATCTGCCACTGGAAAGGGGAAAAAAGAAGCGTTCTGTCCAATACTCTCCCCAGCAAGGAGAAGAAAAAGGGTTTGCATTCATCTCTTAATTCTAGAAAGCCAAATGTGGTTTAATAATGGCAACAGGGGAAATGGAGAGCTACACGTCAATTGCTTTCCCAGGACGGATAGTGAAAGCCAGGAGTTCGGTATGGCTTGTTCCCAGGCAATACGTACTTGGCTGCCTGAGGATGTCCTAGAAAGCTTAAGTCATAGAATAAGCACTGTTCTATCATCAGCTTGGTTTCTCTTCCCATTCTTCTGGCACATTTTGGTCATCAGCCAGTGGGAAGCATGCAATGTGCTCTGAGTTTGAAACTACTGCAGCAAACATAAAGAGGGGTCGCTGAGAGCTGGCACTTGATAAACTGTACATCAACAGGTATGAAAGGCAAAACCAAATTGGGCTGGCCCACAAAGAAAATCCCAAGTGTGTTAAGTGTGAAAAGCGGGGGGGGGGGGGGAAGGAAAGACAACGAATGCACCAGAAGTGAAGTACACAAGGCATGCATGCATAAGGGAAGATGACAAAACAAAACAGACAGCATGTAACAAACGGCAGCTCCACCAACAGCACACTGTTCATTCATGCGACGAAACTGGACAGAACTTTGGCCACTTGCCTCCTTATTTTTAAAAGGCTCCATTACATTTCCACCTAAGAAGCACATTTCTGCAGGAGCACGAACCATTCTGAACACCAGATACATGCCAATTAACAAATAAACAAATAGGGCACGTACCTCTTAAGACCTAGCTCCAGCTCCCTGTTGCGTAACCATATGCCCAGCTGGGCATGATCTGCCCTTGGGAGCAGGCACTCAATTAGGGCCAGAGGCGGCCAAGTTAAGGAGCCCTGCACACCTTTCTCCTGATGATACTGGATACATGCCTCCTAATCTGAGGCTGAAAAATGCAACTCTTTTTTTTTTAAAAAAAATCAAAGCCCCAAGAATTCCCTCAGTCAGCATGGCTAGTAACCACAGGATTCTAAGAATTCTAATAAGAAAAAAAGTCCCCATATTCTGCTCTTAATTTTGCACACCTCTTAAGCTATGTCCAATATTGGTTGCGCTCCAGCTTCTGCACCAAACCAAATGCACACAGGTTGGATGCTTCCTTGCCCAAGGGCTCAAAATCTTGGGAGCCCTGAGGCAGGGTATTTCAGACACAAATGTGGTCAGCCATGGTCAGAAGAAGGGACTTTCCTGCTCCCACCAGAGAAACTCCACTGATGTCTACCTAATGCTACAAACTCAGAAGCACTGACAAGCTGTTAGAACCACCAGGTCCTTCCAGCTCTATCGTTTTATGACTCTTATAAAGAAACCAAGATTGTCCCACTTTGGGCACACCATGAGAAGGAAGGATTCTCTGGAAAAGACAATATTGCTGGGAAAGGTTGAAGGCAGCAGGAAAAGAGGAAGATCAAATATGAGATGGATTGACTGCCTAAAGGAACCACAGGTTTGCGCTTGCCAAAGCTCAGCAGGGCTGTTGAGGACAGGATATTTTGGAGATTGCTCATTCATGAGATTGCCATAAGTTGGGGGCAACTTGGTGGCACACAACCACAACAACATAAAGCAACTGTCAATCAAGTTCATGGCTCTAGCTCTGACCACCCACCTACGCAGGTGGTTCTAGCAGTGACTATACACCTCATCTCACCTTGTGTCACATTAGCAGCACCATAACATCCTCCTTCCCACACCTAAGTCAAGCTCAAGGACTTCCATGTAGAATCCCCAGACCCAGAGATCACTCCTGCTAAACTGTCACAGTAAATGTTTCCCATATTTGCGGCAGGAAATCACTGCATAGATAATGGCAAATCTTGGGAAGTTACTTATAAAAAGAGCGCATGTAATGACATGCTGAAGAAATCCAAAACTGAGCATGGGGAGGATGATGCTCTGGGACCCCAAATAATAGCCTACCATCACTTAGTTATAGATGGCTTCAGCATGTCATTATATTCAGTCTTCTTATTAAGTAACGTCCCAAGCTCTGGACTAAAAAGTCGACAAGCAAGACTAGCCCTAAGACAAACTGTGCCCTCCGTGAGACGCATCCTTGGTGCTTCCGCTTCAGTTTTGCATTATTGTCAAGGCTTGTACAAAATTGCAAAACATTGCCATATAAAGCTGTGTTCTGCTGATTCCCCCCCCCCCAAAAATGAGGTACAGTTCAACTGGACATTGATAAAATAAATACAAGCTAATCGATGGAATCTCTGTTTTTTGTGGAATTTTGATGATGGTAGAAAGGTTACATGCACTTATTACTTTAAACTTTGGCTTACTGCACTTCGCACACCCAAAAGACACAGCTTCTCTTAGTTTTGTGCCTCCCTTAAGCTCAGTGCCTGGGGTAACTGCCCAGCTCACCCACCTCTAAGGCTCATCCTGTTTACAAGGGAGAAGCCCCATGAACACCAACATATAGCAGGACTCCTCCCAGCCACCTCTGCTCCTCCTGATCCATACACACATTCTCCCATTTTGTCTAACACAGGTCTAATTTTGGGGAGAGTACTGTCCTGCCATTATTCTTCATTCTCACATCACGTGTATCCCTCTCTGCCAACATGCCTCCACATGTACCCCTCTTTCTATCTGTCCATCTTGCATCATTCCTTGGTTTGTCTGAAAGTCTTGATGTGACTTTTCCTCGTTCAAAACCGGTCCCGTTGCAGTGTCCCTGCAAGCCCTTTCTGCCCAGCTCCCTTTATGATCTTGCCCCCACCCCCAGGTGTTCTCCCCCCCACACACAAAAAAGCAGCACTGTGACTGCTCCCAGTTATACCGGCCTTCCCTCTCCCTTTCACCTTGCTGCTATTTTGGGGGTCAGCAGAGCATAAAGACAGAAAGCCCTTCGAGACCCCATGTCACAGTGCAGCCTTTCCCCGGGGGTGACTTGCCAAGTTCCTGCGGTGTGTGGCAATCCCCAGCTCCAAGACCCTCCCCAGCACCAGCACAGCCCCACCGTCTCCCCAACTATATTGGAGACCCAAGTGATGGAGTGACGTTGTCCAAGGATATCCTGGCCCAACATGACAAGGTGAAGGCGAAGCAAGGAGGGGAAGGGGCCCTTTTATGCCACCGTCCTCAAACTCCTTATCTCCAGCTGCCATTCAGCATCTTCATTAAACTACCTTGGGCAGGTAACTTAGCTTCCTTCCTTCCGGCACTCTTTTGTTGAGGGCTGCACTGTCTGGATGCTGCCTTGGCAAAGTGGAATTTCACATGCTCACTTCCCTACTCTCAAGGTTGTCTTCTCTCATCATCCCTCAATTCCTTCTCTTGCATAAATTCACACCGAAAACAATTAACAACCCTTTGCCCAGTCTCTCTGAGCAGCTCTGGCACGCCATGCATGGGGTGGTCCCATATTTCAGACTGATGGGGTAGGGAAAGCTTAGGCCAGCCAGCTTCTGATTGGGGTCCAGCTGTTCTCCTGGCCCCTGGGCTCACCTGGGCAGCAGGAAACCCAACATCCACCTGACCCTGCTCAACTTCCCTCCACCATGCCCAAGCCGTCCTGATGATGCCCACTTAAAATGTGGCAGGGTGCCCCCCCCGTCCAACAAACCCTGAAAGCGAACAATGCTGACAGCAGTGCCCGGAGGCGCTTGGCGGCCCCTGCCTCCCC